GGAACTCTGTGTGGTTTGTAGTTACATGTGCCCATGAATGACCATGTTGTAAAAAGCCAACATACGACTTTCTAAAAAGGAAAACCTCGAGGTCATGAGAGCTACGGTAAAACACTCTACAGCTATCACAGGGATTGAAGATGCCTTACACAATTTTGTATTTTCGTTTTAATGGCCCATGTTTTATTTCTAGATTTTCAGAGGTTTCAGATTGGTGAGAATCAGCAGAATTTTTTTTTTAAGTTTGGGCCAGAGCTCCCTCTTATTTTACATATAAAACAGAATGTGTTAGTCGTTTTCCATGTTAAATATGTGAACAGTGGTATATTAGGGAGGAATAAATCTTTACTTGTGGTGGGTTGGAAATGAAACTCATTTTTAGGTACTGTCACAAATTTTCCTTGTATTAGTAGCTGCTGGCTGGCAGCAGTGCTTAAAAATATTTCATATTGTTTGATTGAATGGTCCCCTTCCTCTACTTCAGTTCAAGTCCTGATATGGTGTCTTCTACTTGGTTCATTCTACTGGCAGGACTTTCCCTGGATTTCCTAATTGGGTTACTGAGTTTTTCAATTCCCTCTTTGTTTCAGCCTGTTTGCTTCAGTACTTCTGTATTTTTACTGAAATCGCTTTTCAAACCCTGAATTGCCTTTGCCATTTCATTCAGCCACACACACAACCCTGAATTCTTTGCCATTTCATTCAGCCACACACACACACACACACACACACACACACACACGCACACACACACATACACAGAGACACACACACACACGCACACACACACACACACACATACACAGAGACACACACACATGCACACACACATACACACACACACACACAGACACACACACACACACACGCACACGATTTACTTTTTCTTGAGCTTCACGCAGGAACTTATTTCCTTCATATTTGAATTCACTAAGGTGTTTGTTGTTTACTTTAAACCCCTTGAATTCTTTGATTATATTTATGATTATTCTTTTAAGTTCTGTGTCCTGGTGTTTCTCTGAGTAGTTGACAATGTAGAACATATCTGTAGAACTAGTGAGTGTGAAAAGGAGGTAAGGACATACCGTGTGTTGGATTTTCATTCTTTTTCTTTTCTTTTTGGAGACAGAGTCTCCCTGTAGCCTTAGCTGGACTGGAACTTGCTATGTAGACCAGTAGACAAGGCTGGTCTTCAACTCACAGAGATCCACTTGTCTCTGCCTCCTGAGTGCTGGGACAGAAGGCATGCACCACCACACCTGATGGATTTTCATTTTATTTGTGTTTTTACCATGTAACCTGGGCATGTGAACTCCGTTTGTTGGCTATATATCTGATAGGAGATTTAGTCTGCCTTTGTTGAGCAAGTTTCTGTTGTATTATTGTGAGTTTGTGTGTTGTTGTTCTAGATTAGTTAACTTTAGATCAATTATGAAGAGTTAGTTTGTCAATCCCTCAGATTCTCAATGTTGATTTTTGATTTGAAGGATGGGAGGATTCCTGGGTTGTCCGGTAGGGGACATGGGAAAACACAGCTATGCCTGGGACTGTGCAGAGGTGGGTGGCTTAGGCAGAATTCTGGCTACATCCCCAGGCTAGTCCAGACTAAAAATTGAGCAATCAAAGGTAAAAAGTGAGGCCTGGGAGCTGGGAATGGTGGTATAAAGATTGTTGAAGGTACTTCAATCCCATATTCAATGGATTTGTGGTGGGTAAATTCATTCATTCTCTCTCTCTCTCTCTCTCTCTCTCTCTCTCTCTCTCTCTCTCTGTTTGCCAGGAAGAACCCTATCCTACATTCTCAGCATTATAGCTTGTTGTCTTGTACAGTTTTCTTAAGCAGTATCTAACAAGGCTTAAAACTATGATTCAACAGGATAATTGTCTTTTATGTATGATTTTAAGTAGGAGCATGTGAATATACAACACTTACCCCAGGTGGAATCACATGTAATTTTGATGATGAGAGGCTTTCCCTAGCATTCTAATATCGTTCTGTAAGAGCTAGAAAGATGCAATTACAAGTCATTCATAAAAATAAGTTTTAAAATGGAAAGAGGAGTGATGACAACTCATGACCCATGAAGGAGACATGGCACTCAGTCGTCCACCTCACCACGAAGTCTCCTCATTTTACTTTCCTCCGTTCCTGCTTCACACATTCTTGAAGTTTTCTGTTTGCCATTTTCCATTGCCCTTTCTGAGTATCAATTCAGTCTTCACCCCAATCTCTAATTTCCCTGTTGCCTGAGCTAATTCAGCTGACAAACGTGTGTTCTCCTCCTGTCCTCCTCCTTTCTTCCTGTGAGCAGAACAGACATGCTTTGGAGAAGGCTGCGATGGTTCTGAAGGGATAGCGGTTAGAGGAGGCTCCAGTTCTTCCACACAAGGGCAGCAGGACAAACCCCATCCTATCCATGATACGCTCTGGATTTTTGATTCTCCAAGCACTGTGTATCAATACTGAAAAGTTTAATTCAACCTGATATTTGCTGTATATCTATAATTTCGTTATGTCTGTATTGGTTAAAAGGTTTTATATTTCACCATTGTTTGGCATAATCTTGAACATTTTTCTTCTGTTTGTTTTCTGTTGTATTGATAAAACTTTCATTGTTCTCTTCTATAATTCAGAAGACTGAACATATGGATACAGAACTGTGTTTCCATTCTTATGACAAATATCCTTAAGTATATATGTGCATATACTGTTATATATAAATACTATGGTTCTATATCCTCTGGTATTTTGAGGAGTGGATGTATAAACAGATTTGTCCAGAAAACAGTGCAAGGCAGCTGCAGGTGCCTTGAATGAAAGGTCCTGAGTGTGTATGGATGTCAGTTGGTTGTGGACATTTTAATATGTATGTAGGATTCTATTACTTATAGTAACATATCTTCACAAATTTATCTGAATAATAAAACTAATGAAAAATCATAAGCATCACACTAAAAAGCTTTCTATATTTTTTCACTTTTTATAAAAAGAAGAGGAAAAGGAAAAACAATGTTTATTTTCTGTCTTACATTTTCCAAATTTGTGATTTTCATCTGTGCAAGTGTCTGTGAGTGTGAGCATGTGGGGATAGGGTGGGGGTGTGTGTATTATACACAAGAGTCACACAATGTATTTGGATCCAGAGGATAACTTTGTGGGGCCCATTGTGGGATCCAGGGAATGAACTCAGATCAGCAGGCTTGAACAGTGAGAACTTTTACACACTGGGCCATCTCATCGTCCTGTGTCCACCTTCTTGATAAGGTTTTGGACATCAGACTGCGTGTCACTCTTTCTCCCTTTGTTCAGCAGTGACCAGTTTCTGCTGTCCTCTGGGTCCTATTCTTAGACTATATTTAACGTATGTGTACTTTTTACTTTTCTAGAGTGAAACCTATTGTCTCATCCTCTCTTTTATTATTCTTATTACTTACATTATAATTTCAAATTTTTATTCATTTTAACTAAATTAGAGAAATTAAGGCAGGTGTGGTGGAACACACCTTTAATGCCAGCGTTAGGCAAAGGCAGGTGAATTTCTGTGCTGTCCATGCCAACCTGTTTTATGTAGTGATTTCCAGGCCAGCTGGGGTTACAGACCCCATCTAAAAATACACACACACAAAACCCAAAACAACCCAACAATAATAGAAAGAAATTAAATAAGTAGCACAGTAATTGCCAACTTACTTTAAACATTTAACTGCATGCAATACCATCTTCCAAATGGCTCATCTTTAAACCCCACTCCATCTAGACAGTGATGACTTCTGCCAATCTGCATTTCTTTCATCAGTGAATGGAGCTGGGTTTGTGTGCCTCCTGGAGTTACTTAGGGGCACTCACATTACCTTTATTGGTGGTGTCAGTCCACTAGGGGGCACTGCAGCCTTCCCAGAAATGGCGAGCTCTGAGCGATTAAGCACTGAGAGGAAGCTTGAGAAAGTCAGATAGAAGGCAAAGCAGGGCACTGCTGGTGCGGACTTCACCCAGAGCATCAGCTCTTTGTCATTATTTTTAAAATCTCAGTAAGGGAAAGTCTATATCTCTTTTCACTGGATCCCACGTGTCTATAAATCTGTTTCAAGAATGAGTATCTGTATCTAATCCTTAAAAGATTTTTGAGTTACCTCTTCAGAGGGGGAATGTTCGAGGGGAGGGAGTGGACATGGATTTGATCAAAACACCTTATATGTATGCATGAAATTCACAATAAAAATTTTTTTTTAAAAAAAAGAATGATTATCTCAACAGAGGTAAGAAAATTGGATTTCGGTGGACATTGTCAGGATGGGAGCTTAAGCAAAAATATTTCCATGACATGCAAATTTCTTAAATTTTTGTGACTAAAATCCCCCAAATTCACAGATCAAGAAATAATTCAATATCCCTGACGTACAGTGTGTGTGTGTGTGTGTGTGTGTGTGTGTGTGTGTGTGTGTGTCTGTACTTCTTTTTCTCTGATGTAGAGGGAGAAGATTAACTAGTTGGGAAGAAAAAATGGGAACAAAAGACACAAAAACAGAGGGAGAATAAAGATAGGATCACATTGACACTGGGCCAGCTCTATCTACCTGCTCAGAGTCAGCTGTGTTTGCCTGAAGAGTCCAGGGGAAAGGTCCGGGCAGAAGGGGGGAGCTGGAAATAAATCATGGTGGACACCATATGTGCATATGATTTTTCTTTCAACCCACACCACTTTTCTTGGAAACACTGTCTATGCAGAGGGTGAACTACTTTCAATAAGTCTCTGTTCCCCCTTAGAACACATTACATGCTGACTTTTCAAACTGTCTGTTAAATTGTGCAATTTAGGAAACAGGGTTCATCTTCCTAGGTTTCTTCAAGTCTCTGTGTAACCCAGTGTTACCGCTGGATTTTATAGTAAGTATGATGCGTTCTGCTTCCTCATTTTTTTTTCACACAAAGTCCTCTATCTAACATGAACTGTAAGAAATCATGGGAGGAAAAAAATAGCCGTCATACCCTAGAAACACGGCCCCCCTGACTCCCTGCACCTTTGTCATCCACAGTCTTGTAGCAATTACTGTGCCATCTCACCTGGCCACGGTGGGTGGAGTTTCCTGTGTAGACAAATGACAGAGCTCAGTGACTCAGGGGGAGTGTTCTCTATAAGCAGATTTTTGTCCGGCCCAAAATTTGACTACTTTCAGACCTGTAGAGACAACACCTCAGCAAATGGACAGGAACCATGGAGAGGAGACTTGAAACAGTGCTGGGGCTTCTGTGGGTGCAGGTTTGCTGTGAGTTGTGGTCACCCCAGATGCGGTTAAGGGGGCTCCAAACTTGTCAATGGCAGAAGGAGAGAGAGCCGATACAAAGCTCCTTTGGGGTCCTTCATCCTCCTGTGTTTCTTCTTGGATACTTTAGAAATGTTTCTGGAAACTTCTTGGTGATTCTGTTTTGCTTTCCTTTGTCCAAACAGGGGTGACAGGGATGCAGGTAGAGCAGCGTCCTTCAGTCTTGAGTCTCCAGGAGGGAGCCGACGCTACTCTGAGATGCAATTTTTCTATCACCATGACCAGTGTGCAGTGGTTCCGACAGAATCCTAGGGGCAGCTTGATCAGTCTGTTCTACATGGCTCCAGGGACAAAGGAGAATGGGAGGTTAAAGTCAACATTTGATTCTAAGGAGCGCTATGTGACCCTGCACATCAGAGACACCCACCTGGAAGACTCAGACACCTACCTCTGTGCAGCGCAGGCACAGTGCTCCCAACCAGCCTACAACCTGGCTCCAAACCTCAGCTGGGTGTGCAGCTGCAGCCCCTGCCATGGGGAGAAGCTGCAGCAATGTTTGCCCTGCTGTGGGTTTCCTGATTTAAGTTGTATTACCTTCATTTCTGCTAACATTGGACAATCGTGGACTTTCATTTCACCTAGTTTACCTTTTTCCTTTCTGGAATATCTTTGGAAGGAAAATGTCTTTGGGTGGACCATTAGAGTAATTAAAAAAAAATAGCAGGATCCTAAATACTGTTAAAACACATTCCCTGGAAATACACATAAATTATTGGGATGGAAAGTGCTTGAAAAATATGAAAGTCAAGAAACAGAAAAGAGAGAGTTCAGTATTCCAGTGAAGCACGGATGATGTGGTTTTCCTGGGGAGAAGAGGCAGAGAACACATGTGATAAAAGCACACGCACACCGAGGGCACATAGGCCAGGCATGTGTTCAGATTCTCTCTCCCAGAATCCTGACCAAATATCATAAAAAGTGGTTCATGTCCTTGAGCATCCGGCACTGTCAGTTTTTACAGACATGTTCTAAATCCTGACAAAAGTTCAATTTCCATACTAATACACTGAAGATTATATAGGGAAACTCACCTGCCTCAGCTGACATGCTAATTACCTAGCAATGCTGGGGTGAGATTTCCACACAGAAAGTCCTAAATCATATCTTGAGCATGGTGGTGGTTTGAATGAAAGTGTCCCCACATGGTGGCACTGTTTTGGGAGGTCTTAGAAGGTGTGGCTATCCTGGAGGAAGCATTCTATCACAGCAACAGAAAAGTGACTAATACAAGCACTGAGCTGCTCAGTGTAGAACATTCCAGAATCCAAGATTACCTGTTCATAAACTTTTAAAATATGTCTGTTTACATCACTGGCAAAAATGTTCATTTTAATCCAGTTCTGCTTAAATAGCTCCTTTTGAGGAAGAGGTCAATGAAGGTTTCCTCTTATTAATGTTAATATGAAGTATAGAGGAGAGACTGAGACTGTGAGAGCCAAAATGAGGAAAAATGGGCAGCCCCAGTAAAGCTGATGTCAGGGCCAGTTTTGTGGGCCAGTGACCTATGCAGCGCCATTGTGCCTGGGCCTCAGGAGGGTCTAGTTACATATTCTGCTATTGCTATCTTCAATTCTTAATAACGTTGTCATTACTTTGTGTTTTTCAAGAGGCATGCAATAAGAGGTCTGAGCAGAGACACACACAGGGCTTCACACTGGAGACCATGCAGCTCAGGTTCCAGACATAGCAGTGGCCCATGAGGTGAGCAGCTGGCTGTTCCTGTCCAAGGGCTGTGCATGGAAGGCTCTCTGGAGCTCTGCAGAGCCTCAAGTGAGTTGTCGTAGCTGCTAGTAGAGGATTACAGCATTAGAGCACACACTGGGCAAACAGAGCATTACTCCGAGAGAGTAGAATTCTTTGAAAATTTTAGAAACATGGAAACCAATACTTTATTGACAAGTGACTTAACAAGTTTCATAATGAAAATCAAATATAAATGTAGTAGTTTGATGAACAGAATCCATGACTTTCTAATGAACTAATTATTAGAAGAATAAAATTTTAGTTTTAATTTTCCTTATACTTGTCTATAGAGTGAAAGCATACATAAACATGAATTCTAAACTGTATTAGTCACTTTTCTGCTGCTGTGATAGAAACACTGACCCAAGCAGTTTATAGAAGGAAGAGTTTATTTGAGTTTACAGCTCCAGGGGAATTACAGTCCTTCACGGCAGGGAGGCATGGTGGCTGGAGGTGGCTGGACCAGGAGCAGCATAAGTGAAGCTCGCACATCATCACTCAGGCACAGGAAGCAAGAGAGTGACTGGAGATCTGGAAAGGCTTAGGAAGTCTCTAAGCCCACCCCCAGTGATGTGCTTCCTCCAGGATAGGCTCACTTTCTAAAACCTCCCAAAACAGCTCCATCATCTGTGGACAAAATGTCCAAATACTTGGAGCTTATGGGGGACATTTTCATTCAAACCACCACATTCCATCCCTGCCCCCCATAGGCTCATGACCATATAAAATGGAAAATGTGTTTAGTCCAACTTTAAAAATCCTCAGAGTCATTATCAATCTCACTACTATTGCAAAATCCACAGTCCAAAGTCTCTTCTGAGATTCAGCGAAATATCTTAACTGCAAAATCAAAAGATAAATTACATACTCTCAACATACAGTGGAACAGAATAGTCATTACCATTCCAAAAGGGAGGAATGGAGGCATAGTAAGGAAATACAGGACCAAAACAAGACCCAAAACCAGCAGAGCAAGCGCCAAATCCAGTAGCTCCACGTCCAGCTTCTGGAACTTTACTTCCAAAGGGGTTAGATGGCTCAGCCTCTCTAGGTTTGCTGCATGCAGCACACATCTCTCTCTTGTGCTGGTACCACTCCCTGTGTGCAGGTCTTCTTGGCAGATGCCTCACAGCTCTAGCATCACAGACATCTTCTTGGGGTCTCCATTGCCAACCAGGCTTCACCTTCACAGCTTCATGTGATGGCCTATCAGGGCCTTCTCTATGCAGGAGAACCCCTGCTTCACGTTGCCTGGCCTCTGAGGCTCTCTGAAACCTCAGAGGAAGAACTGATGACGATGATCCCTTCACGCTTGCATCTTTCATGCCTCTGAAGCCAGAACTAGGTGAATGACACTGCCAAATTTCACTGCAAGTTTGGGATGGACTCCAGCCTGCATTATCCATTTTAGAAGCTTTTCTCTTCAGTGGCCCCTGCAGCGTTTTCCTTTCATGAGTTGGAGACTTAACTGTGTGTGGTCTTGCCCTGGAGGCACTCTCTCCATTGTTTAAGTCAGAATCTCTAGGCCCCTCCTTAATCACTTTAATCTCCTTAATCACTTTAATCTCCTTATCAATGGGATCCTCTCCATCACATGCCAGGGCTCCAACATTAATATTCCTAGTGCTGTTTTTCAATCCATCCTTTACAGTCTGTATTTCTTTCTGCCCCATTTTCTCTTTTTCACTGTAAATCTGTATAATAGTCACCATTAATAGCCACACCACCATTTCTACATTATGCTGTCTTGAAATTTCTTCCACCAGAGAAATTAGTCCATGGCTTTTCAACTTAGCCTCAGGCAAGATTTTTGGCTGTGGGCAGACTCCAGCCATACTCTTTGCCAAAATATCCCAATTGCGGCTTACGTCCTTATTTCCCTCTAGAGCTACATTGTTCTCAGCATTACTTTCTTCCAGGAGTTTACTAGAATGACCCGTTAAGCTCTGCTTATGCTTACAGCAATCAACTGCTTTTCTAGTCCAAACTTCCAAAGTTTTTATTTTTCCAAAGCCACACATGGTCAGTTCTTCACAGTCAACAGCCCGCTCTCTGATACCAATTACTGTATTAGTCACTTTTCTGTTGCTGTGATAGAAGCACTGACCAAAGCAATTTATAGAAGGAAGAGTTTATTTGGGCTTACAGTTCCAGGGGAATTACAGTCCATCATGGAAGGGAGGCATGGTGGCTGGAGGTGGCTGGAGCAGGAGCAGCAGAAGCTAAGCTCTCACATCATCATGTAGGCACAAGAAACAAGAGAGCGACTGGAGATCTGGCAAGGCTTAGGAACTCTCTAAGCCCATTTGCCAGTGACGTGCTTCCTCCAGGATAGCCACACTTTCTACAACTTCCCAAAACAGCACCATCATCTGGGGCAAAATGTTCAAATACTTGGAGCCTATGGGGGACATTTTCATTCAAACCACCACATAAACTGTACGTGTATCATGAAGCCACTTTCAGTTTATTATCTCTCCATGAATTAACTTGAGGAAGTTAAAAGGCTAATGCATAAAATTGAGCTAAAATTCTTATTGATATGAAACTGACATATAAAGAGTTAAACTGTCTTTCAAAAATTGTTCAGCTAAAAACATCATTCCTCGATTACTAAAATTTATGTTTCAAGTATTTCATCAAATATTTGAATAACATGTAATAGAATATTCTCCTAAGATCCGGAATTATTGGAGTCATTTTTCAGAATTAGAAATTGACAAAAATTGCCTCTTGTTTTCACAGAGAACACCTGGAAACATGTCCAATGATTCTACTCAAAGTCAAATTGCTAAAAGAATTAATTTTCAAACTCTGATATATCAAATCACAGAAACATAAAACAAAAGAAATCTTATGATTATATCAAGACATTATTTTTACAGTGTCAATATTTTATATAAATTCATTACACCATTTCTTTAGTTTCTAAGTTTAGTCTGCTAATTATATAGGTATGAAATGCTGTTGTTTTCTATATTTTATTTATTTATTTTCCTTTTAATGTTTATGAGTGTATTGAGGGTATGTGTGTAAGTGTATCCATGCTGTGTAATGCCTGGGAAGGTCAGAAGAGGGTACTGGATTACCTAGAAATGGACATTTGTTAGCCAGTATATGGGTGCTGGAAACTGAACACAGGACCTCTGTAAGAGCAGCCAGTGCTCTTAACAACTTAGCTATCCCTCCAGCCCCTGTTGTATTCAGTAACAAAGTATTCATAAGGGAAGATTTATATTATATCAATCAATAATATTTTTCTGATTTTTCAGCTTGACAACAAATTTTCATTCATAAAGGGTTCCACAAACTTTATAACTAACACTGCTGGGAATTTGAAGTCCAAGTTATGTTTGGAAAGAGGGTACTTAAATTCACAAAGGAATCAGAATGAGATTATCAGTATGTACTTTGATTTAGTAAATTATCATCCTCATGTTCTTCAAACCTAAAGATGTGTGTGCGTGTGTGAGATATGTGTTTGTGTGTGAGATGTGTGTGAGATGTGTGTTTGTGTGTGTGTGCATGCATGTGCGTGTGTGTGTATGTGTGTATGTGTGTTTGTCTAAGATACAAATACCTGAAAAAAGGCTCTGAGCATGGCACTCTGCTTATACATGCCTTGGCCTACGACCACGTTACCTCATGTAGGTGATTTTCATTTTTAGTCAAGCCCTATTCTATTTCATTTGACTATGGATTTAGTTTCTCCTTGAATGAACATGAAGCTATTCATTTTGGAGGAGGGATGGAAAGGCAGATTGGAACTTATCATCTCGCTCTGAAGTTGCCCAAGTCCCAGTCAAGAAAATAACAGACATGACAGATCACATAGGGATGTGAAAATGGTATTGGGTTGCAACGATGTAACACAGTTTCTCCCAAAATTCATATCACTCCATGTGTCATACAGCTCCTGTAAATACTTCCTATGTTCATAGTGCAAAAGAGTTACAAAGGTAGAATTCCTTGAGTTCTTCCAATCCAACTTCATGTTACATTGCAGAAACTTTATATAAAATGTCAGCATTAAACAACTATCTAGTAAATGAGTATAAAAGAAGTTGGGTTTCCAAATTTCCTCCTTACCATTCTGTCCTCACCTCATTCCTGTGGGAACATAGTGCCTATGCACCTGTCACTTTAGCTCTGCAGTTTGTGTCTAGGAAGACGTGATCCAGTCAGTTTGACTGCTAGGATACAGAACTCTCATCTGTAAAGTTAGGGCACTTTGAGCAAGAAAAGAAACCTAGGCTGAACCACTGTTATTCCACTAGAAAGTGGTATCAGTCAATCATTAGATACTGTGGGAGAGAACCAAAGGGATGGTGGTGACTTCAACTCCCAGACAACTTCTAAGAACTTCCCTAAAAGTTCTAAGTGCATGTGTTACTCCAGGCAGACATCCCTGAAGGTCAGATATGAACAGAATCAGCATCACGTGCATACTGTCAGACGAGTTGGCCATTGAAATAGAGTGAGGAGAACAGTGTTCTCCTGCACCTGACAGTGATGGAAAGTCTTTTCCTGGGTGCCACAACTGAAAAGGACAAATATTGATAGGAGTATCTGTCTCCAAGAACAAGGAGACATACCCAATGAATGATGCCATGCAGGGAATGTGTGAGTAAATACAACTTGAGGGGGAGAAATGTTACATTTCAAGATATTATATGAAAACATCTTGCATGTGTACATATATATTTATGTAAAGCTGAAGTTCACTATCATAACTTTTCTTAAATATTTAAGGGTATGGGATGAATTGAATTGGTTCTCTGTAACTTCAAAGGTCTAGTGAGCACAAACCTCAGGAACAGGCCTCTTCTTCTAGAAATGAGGCCATAGTTTTCATAATTCATTTATCATGATCAGGTCTTTAGGATCAATTTCTTGTGTGCAGTATCTCTGAAAAAACACAGAGGCAACACTTAGGGTTCTTAATAATTATTATTAAAGATGTATTCAGAAACATGGGGAAAATAAACTACACAGGAAAGGCAACTTAGTAGAGAGTGATAATCCCCAAAATCTATAGGTCTGCAAGGATTATGTCAGTGTTTTGGAGGAAGAACATTGTATTGGAATTTGGGAGAAAAGCCAGAAATAAAAGAAGCCAGAGTCCATGCCAGGATGGTTGGTTTACAGTTTAGAGGATAGCCAAGAACATGTACCTTAGTCTTTGGATTGGAGGATATGATATTCATCTTTATAGCAAAAAGCATAACATATCAATAATAATGTTACATACTGGGGAGATGGCTCTGGTTAAGAGTGCTTGCTGCACAAGCAGGAGGAGCTGAGTTCAAATACCAGAATTCACATGAAAGCTCTGTGTAGTAGTGGATGTAACCCCAACAGTGTGGTGGGTTGCAGCAAGGACCATCTCTCATGATGGATAGTTGCCAGCCTACTTCCAGGTTCAGTGAGAGACCATGTCTCAAAGGAAAAATGCAGAGTGTGATATGGTTGTTTTCCCCACCTGTGGCCTCAGGATTTTCTCTTAGAACCTTGCACATTACAAATCACCTACCAGTAAGGAAAATTATTTCTTCCTTTTAAAGGTATCATATATATATATATATATATATATATATATATATAATTTT